CCAAACATGATGTCCCTCTCCAAGCATCAGTGCTTCCTTGCAACATGACCAAAGCATGTTAGACGAAGCTTCAGAATCCTTGACTCCAAGGAGCGTTTTGGTTTCACCTTCTCCAGAACAAATATGTTTGTTCTCCTAGCAGTCCATGGTATATTCAACACTTGTCTCCAGCACCACAACTCAAAGGCATCAATTCTCTTTCTATCAACCCTATTCACTGTCCAACTCTCTGATGCATAGCATGTAACTGCGAAGACTATAGCCCGGATCAGGCACACCTTAGTCTCCAGTCTGATGTCGTTGCTCTTCAGCACTCTTGAGAGGTCCCTCACAGCTGACTTTTCCAATGTAATTCTTCTCTTGATTTCCTGGCTGCTGTTACCAAGAGTGTTGATTGCGGAGCCAAGTAAACTATCTCAATCTCTTCATCATCCATACTAATGCTGCCAATTGGCCCAGTGGTGAGAATCTTTGTTTTCTTGATGTTGAGCTTCAGTCCATATAGGAGGCTGCAGTCCTTTATCTTCTGCAGCAAGCGCTTCAGGTCCTCCTCAGCAAGCAGGGTTGTGTCATCTGCATAACGCAGGTTGTTGATGATTCTTCCATCAATCCTGATGCCACATTCCTCTTTGTATAGCCCAGTGTTTCAGATGATCTGTTCTGCATACATATTGAAAAGGTATGGAGACAGAATACATCCCTGACAGACCCCCTTCTTGATTGTGAACCATGTAGTGTCGCCTTGCTCTGTTCTGACGACTGCCTCTTGGTCCAAGTATGGGTTTCGCATTAGCATGATCAAATGTTCTGGGATTCCCAGTTTTCTCAGAGTCAGCCACAGCTTGTTGTAATACGCACAGTCAAAAGCCTTTGCATAATCAATGAAGCACAGATAGACATTCTTCTGGTATTCTTTGCTTTCTGCCAAGGGAATTACTTGTATAATAACAATAAAGTGAGAACAATGGAAAAAGCTCTGGTAGCCTAGTGGTCACTGGTGAAAGCTTACCTTTTAAAAAAATTTAAAAGATAAATTATCTCCTTTAATTATTCAACATGAGATACATGAACAAAACAGACTGTAAATGAAAGACTGTATAGAACAAAATGTACATGCATGAAACACAATGTACATGAATCATAAAAATATTAATTAAAAAAGAAAATAATATGAAAATTTAATTATACAGTGATTTTCTTATGATCATGAATCAGAATCAACTCGAAGGCACCCAGTAATCACAATAGTTTTATCAGACTACTTCTGTATAGCAGAATTTTGGGGGTCCAACTGCTTCTTTCATTTGAGTATCTGTTCTTTTCAGTCCAAGCAAGCAGTGCTTTTGTTGCTGTCTTTAAGAATCTTAAGGGTCATGTTTGAAGTTTACAGAGGCTCACTCCAGTAAACTAATGCATTGTCCATTAATCTCTTAAAGATAATTCCTTCTTTATCTGTGGCTTCTGCTGGAATGTCTGAGGGACAGCTCTCTTAAGCTCCCTAGATGCTCTCTAGCTTGTCTGAGACAATCTGTGGGGAATACTTAACAAACTCCCAGAAGGCTCTTATATATGGCTGATCCTTCAAATATTATCCTGAACTTCTTATCTTTCCGAGGTTTCAAGAAAAGTTGTACAGTCACATTTTCAGTCTTTTTCCTACAGCAGTTGTCAGCCACTACTTAAAAAAATCTAGCATCCTTTTGTCATCTGGGTGAGCGAAGAAGTTTTTCAAGCCATCAAGTTTTGGTTCTCTTCTAGCAGTTTTTCTCTTAATGTATCTCTCTCTTTGCATTTCACCACAAGCAACAAAAACAAATCAGGTACACCTCAAATATTCACTTGGACTTCTTAGATAAATCTGCAAGTTCTGTTTTCACCTGATTGAAAAATAGAATGCCACTAAACTTGCTAGATCTACATAAAAAGAATCTCTTCTCCTCCAGTTTCTAAGAAGAATAGTAATTAAGTAATTATTCAAATGACATTCATATTATTAAAATTATATAAATGCACTATATAGTCATGCACACATATACAGGAGCCTTGGTGGTGTAAAAGTGCTTGGCTTCTAACAGCAAGATTGGCAGTTTGAATCCACCAGCTGCTCCTCAGCAGAAAGATGGGGCAGTCTGTACCTGTACAATTTACAGACTTGGAAATAGTGAGTCAGCATCAACTTGATGGCAGATATCCATACACATATATAGATATGTCTCCAGAAGAAACAACACACATACATATACAGTCATATCCAGAAGAGAAGCCAATAACACCACAATATCTCTAGAACAGGTATAGTAATGATTCAGGTGTAGAATTCTCTCCTCTCCATGTAAAACAAGGGTTTAATTCACAGTCACGCATCACACGTCAGGCCACCATCTATAGTCAGTGGAGACCTGCATGCTGCTAGAATGCTAAATAGGTTTTAGCCACAATCTCAGACTAAAATGTATTAAAAAGAAAGGGTGAGTGATCTGCTGCTCAAAAAATCAGTTAACAAAAACCCTCTATTTAACACAAGGGCCTGATGTACAACAGATCATGGGGATAGCACATGAGAACACTGGATAGGATTTCCTCCTACTGTCCATGAGGATTGTCCTATATTGGGAACTGATTTGATGGCAGTTATCAACAACATACAGAATGAACATATTGTATCAGTAATAGACTAAAGTGTACCTAATCAAAGTCACGCTGTTTTCAACTACTTCCTATCCATGTGAAAGTTGGACAAGAAATAAGGAAGACCCAAGAAGAATCAAAGTCTCTTAATTGTGGTGATGGCAAAGAGCATTCAACATACCACAGACAGGCAAAAGAACAAATCTTAGAGGAAGAGCAGAAAGGGTGCTTGCTGGATGCAAGGATGGGGAAACCTATCTCATACTTTGGGCATGTTGTCAGGGTGTCAATTGATGGAAAGGGACCTTCAGCAGGATAGACTGACACAGTGACTGCAACAATGGGCTGATGCATGGCAGAGACTGTGAGGATGGTGTAGCACAGGCCAAAATAAATGCACTATATCCTGTTGTTCACAGAATCGTCACGAGTCATTGTCAACTCAATGGAACCTAACAGAATTTAAGAAGTGTGTCAATGCGAGGGGTGGGGAGGGAGAGAAAGAAAAAGACTAGAAGACAAATAGTTTTATTTAGATCTAAACTGTTTTAGGGACCATTTATCTAGTCATTATTAACTTCTTTTGAACACTCCTGAGAAATTTACTGGACTGCGTAGCAAAAAACAAAACCAGAAAACAACCAAAATGAAAGACTATAGCTAGCATGTGCAATGCAGGAAATTATAAAAAATGAGAGTGTTTCCTTCGACCAGAGATAAAATCATGCTCTTTTTTATGACTCCATTTTCTTTGTGAAATGAATATAGTAAGTACAGAACTGGGAGCACACTATTTGAAATAAAACATAGTGGTGTAAAATACATACCTGTTGATGATACTGCCGTTTTCTTCTAAATTAAATCAGTTATTTCTATACAAGGGTACATTTTCCACAGATCAATTTGTGATCACTTAAGAATAAATACTGAGAACACCATATTAAGAACTTCAGAATATTCTATTTAGAAACCCAAATAAAAGTAACCTGTTCAATTTTCCCCCCAACAGTACTACCAGCATTTTTAAATTTTTCACTTCTCTAAAAACTCCAGATATCATGAAAAAAATCATTTATCCAATGTGACAACTGCAAAAATTCAAAATTTTAACAAGTTATCAATTCTTCTAATACAGGCTTAATTTCATCCTACAAACCTATACGGATGCATTATATTTATTGCCATCTTTTGTTTTTAAACATGCCGAAGCCATCTAATATGGAATGATGTCATGGAAAAACAAAGGTTCCATATGATCAAATGATATATGGAACAAAATAATTGTAAAATAAAACACTCTAGCTTAATTATAAAATAGAAATCTATTTAAAA